AAAACTATGTTATTTTCATAAGGGACTTGTGGATTCTTAAATTTGGTATCAGTGGGGGTCCTAGAACCAAATGGGAATACTAACAATGTACATAACACTGAGGTTACAATGGAGCTCTTTCTAAAGAAAACAAGTCTAGATCATATTTCTTCCTGAAAATGTCTTTTCTTAATTCTACTATTGTCTTCTCTTGGTTCTACTTGCTTCTCTACCCCTCTTTTTTCCCTCCCAGTGAGGTTTGAACCCAGGGTCCTTTCCAATGAACTAATGACCAGTAAACCCCCATCCATTCCCTGCTTTAACTTTGAGAAACGGTCACCTTAAATTAAGAAGCTGCCCAGGCTGGCCTCCCAGAGTGTTGGTATTGCAGATGTGCACCCTGCCCAGTTGTTTTCATTCTTTTCTTCCTTTTTTTTTTTTTTTTTTTTGGTACTGGGGATCGAACTCAGGACCTTGTGCTTGGGAGGCAGTCAGTGGCACCACTGAGCTAAATCTCCAGCCCTCTTCCCTAGAATTTACTCTCTGCTATTTTCCATTCATTCTCCAAACCTTCTTTTCTCTTCTTTTGCAGTCTCAGTACCTCAAAAACTATTCTGCAAATAACTCCCACATCTTGGGACTTGGTAGCTTCTCTGGTAGAATGCCGCGGTACTTCAAAGGCACAAGACCCGAATTAACTTATCTTTCTTTCAAATCTGCTCTTTATTCATGTTCCCTACTTCTTGATGTACTTAATGACAGCATGTCTTATTTCCCACAATTTTAAAACCTTAAGCATTGTCTTGGCTTCTCCCATTCCTCCAGTTCTCCATTATCTATTTGTCAATTTGCTGACAATATGTTGTTGATCCTATCTTTGAATTATGTTATTATTCTAATGCAAATTCCTGCTGCATCTGCCTACTGCACAATTAAATTCTGGTGTTTCTTTAGTTTCTTCCTATGCAGGTCTAATCTAATACATTCAAATGCTTTTTCAGGGGAGGGGAGAGATAAACTGCAGATTCATTCTGGATTTTAACCAGTCTGGATCTAACCTAAACTACTTTCCTAAACAGTTTCTTAGTTTACCAGTATATTGCAGCCAACTGAATCCATCACCTTTTCTTTTACTTTTTCTCCCTTTCTCCACCCCCTCCCCACCTTGTGTTATCAGGGACTGAATCCAAGGGCACCCCAATCTTGCTAGCTTTCACCTTGTATATTACCTACCACCAGTTTTGTTTTTGCATATTTTAGTCTCTGCTTCTGTTTCCCTTGTCTGAAACAATACTCAATTAAATGTCCCTTGACCTCACTCTACAGCCGAGGCTGGCCACAAACTCATGGGGGTCCTCCTGCCTCAGTCTCCCTAGTGCTGGGATTATAGGTGTATGCTACCAGGGCTGGTTTAAATGTCATTTCTTTAAAAAGCCTGCTAGATATAATAAAAATCTACTCCAGCATTTTCTCTGCATATAACTTATGCCATCCAAACGCATCTTGGGCTATATTTACCCATCCTCACAAACACTGCGTCCATTTCTTATTTGTGTTATGTATATTCCTCTGTGCATCTGTCGTAATTTCTAACTTTCATTATACCTTCGGGAAAAATGTGATGTCTACTATGTGCCAGGCTTTGGGAGTGAATAAAGAAATGAACAAAAAACAATTCCTCACTTTATGGCTTTTACATTCTTATGAGTTAGTATTTGGAAGGAAGAAAAGTGCTTTGAGGAATGAGAAGAAAGCCAAGCAGTGTTGCTATGCAGGAAGGGTGTTCTTGTAAGGTCTCTCTGAGGTGACTTTTTTTTTTTTTTT